GGGGTAACATTTTCGGCGGGGATCTCCTTGCCTTTGTTCCTAACTTGCCTTTTCTCTGTCACCTTGGTTTTTGTTTTGTCGACAGCATCCTTTTTCGGATTCAGCTCTGACGCCTTTCTCTTTTTCTCCAATCCGGTGGAAGTATCCTTGTGCCACAACCCAGACGGAGACTTTTTCCTTCCCTTGGTCAACACGGCCAACCAGCTGGGAAGAGTGTTTGGTTGCTTTTCCATTTGGGGAATTGCAAAACAAAATAATGAAATCAGTTGTTAAGCACAATACAAAGCACTTCAATATAGCAATCACACATACTCAATTCAGCAACAAGCTCCTCTTGAGACTTATAAATGAGAGATGCAACGCTAGCATGCTGATGCGCCTAAAGGTATGTACCGATGGCGATCATGTTATTAATATCATTGGAGTCCAACTGGGATTCTTTAAAGCGGTAGCTTGAAGGAGGAAATTGGAAATGATCGGATGACCAGCATAAGGGAAATTTTCCCTCTACGTCCTTGGTACCACAGTTTTGGAGAAACCATACCTCCTTACCGGGATGCGCGCAAACCTTAAAGAACTTGTCTTTAAAACCTTTAAAAGACTCAGTGTAGACCTTAAAGAGTCTACGGCCAGGGACACCTCTATAGTAATCCAACATTTCCGTTCTGGCGGTTCGCGACCAGTTCGACAAGAGATAACTTGAAAGAAGAAAAAAAAACCATAACAGAAGGATGAAGAACAAGATAGGCACAAACCGCTTGAATGCCTTAACGAAACCCCACCCGTTGGGATGGAGTTGTGTAGGGCATATGTGCAGATGATTGAGTATCTCTGTTTGAAACTCGGTTAAGGGAAACCGGAGTCCGAGTTGAGTAACGAAATCTCGGTAGAAGAAAAAGAAGCAAGGACCCTCTTCAGTTCCGCCTAAACATACGGGTTCGTCTTCTTCGGGAGTTACGATGTCAAAATTTTCAACCAACCCGACAGAAAGCCCAGCCACGTCCTCCGAAGAAAGCTTGGGTGTGGTATTCAAAACCTCATGAGTCACCCAGGAAAACTGGGATATCAATGAGGCAGGTGGAGACCCAGAATGCGACTCGGCAGAACCAGATTCCTCTATTATCTCTTGAGGGGGATGCCATAAATGCCTAGAAAAACAAAAAAAGTTTAAATCAGAAGGAAAGAATGGGCATACCTATATTAAAAATGCTACTAGATGACGAGTCACTAGAAGATGAAGAGCTCGGCACGTCAGAAATAGTAATCGGGTCATTTGTCTCACCAGATGCCGACATCGATCCAACAAAAATCCCATGTCGGCAACTCTCTAAAGTGGACTCGGCCAACGAGTCACATCCTTGCTCGACAAGCTTAGCACTCAGATAGACGCAAGAATAACATGGGACACCTCCTAAGACAGAGGAATGGTGAGGGAAAGCATGTATGTTGGAACGCAAACCCGAAGTGGTCATGGGCTGGCAAGAAAGCACAGCCCCGGGTGGAGAAGACGGCAGCGAATGACTATTTTTTATGAGACCCTTATCCCGGGAAGAGCAACCTCTACCCCGTGGAGGCCCTAACTCCCTATTCGACACCCTGGCCCTTTTCCGAGATCTACCACCACGGCATCCTCGAAGCATAGCTTCCCGCTCTTCTTCTTTGGTCCTGGGAATCCTGCAAAGCCAAAAACGGACACCAGGAGGAATCTTTTTGAAAAAATCAGGATCTTCCTCCCTCTTTCCTTTAAAACACAGAGCTGAAGAAAAAGAGTTTTCCCCTCATTTGGTCAAAAAACTGAAAAATGCTAAATGTCAAATAACAAAGGGAGGAGAAGGAGGAAGGCAAGGTGATAACCACCAACACGACAGGAGGGGACACACAAGTTTTGAAAGATGTAAACTATGGAAGTTTTTCATAGGTTCTAGAGAAAAAACAAAAAATCGACGAAGGAAAATATGCAACTTCAAATTTAAAAAGCATATTGGCAAGCAAATGTTCAAATGCAGAATCACAAAACAGAAGCAGCAAAAGAGTGAAGATGTGTGAAATACCTGTTGAAAGAAAGATGAAAGACTGAGATTGCAATGCTGGGAGTAAGCGAAATGAGGTTGATGCGCAATGCTCAGAAGGCAAACAAAAACATATAAGGGGAAACAGAGGCTTAAATAGCCATGACTAGTGACCATTGGGGTCGTGAATAGCAATGGTCAAGGCTATTTAGGTCTTTTCGCTCGCCAAATCATAACTGCAACAATCGTGGGTGGAAACCGCAGTTATCATGCGCGAAAACCATAGCACGGAGAAAGCCAAGGAGCAAGGGCATTACTGCCAATTTACCCCAAAAAGAAATGATTAGACAACTGAAACGATGCTGCAATATATGCGCACGAAACGCAGCGACGACAGAAAATGGCTGCAGCACGCTAAAGCACGCGGGTTGTACCACGTGGCAGAATGAAATGAGTGCAATTCTAAATCAACAGATAAGACAAGATATATACTCATACAGCTGTTAACCAAGTTAAGTGTTGACACTTGGGGCAACTCAATAGTCGACTCACGACTACCAAAGCACATCTTCTACCGGCTACCCCATGAAAGACTCGACGGGTTCATGCACAACCCGTCTACCAAACAAATAGGCATAATGACATAATCCGAGTTAAGGTATAACGCTTGAGGGCAACCCGCCGGTGAGATTCGAATAACTTAAGCGTATTCCTAACTCGGAGTAGGAACATGGTTATGCTCAACCAGCAAAGCAGTGCAACGAGGGAAAATGGCAGTGAACACGACATAAACAAAGAACTCGACATAAGCATATATGCTTACATAGTTACATCACGAGATAACACGGCTGTAGGAACCCGACAGCTCAAGATTATACCCGGCCCAGAAGGTGGAATACGCAACATATCTCACCGGGCTGATGCTCAACCCGTCGACATAAACGGACAAGGGACACCCCGTATGGAAAAATTCCATCACAAGCGGAGCATGCAAAGTCTGCAAAAACGCGAACACATTCAGGGGCAAAAACCTGAAGAGATGCACACGTAAGTCCACCCCGACTACCCGGACTCCCAGGTAGCCGGGCTGAGGGGCAACTGTTATGGACCCATACAATGGGCCCATTAAGTAGTAATCCCAACCAGAGGCAATCTAAGATACAAATTGATATTAACAAAGGATAGATATCCATCAAGGATACTAATCCTAATACGACAGCATAGCAAACAGGCCTAGGCCCTCATTAGAGGTACCAAAGGCCCATCCACACTACCCACATGTAACCTCTATAAATACAAGGTAAACTCTAAAGGTACGTTACGCTCTCTCTTACTGTTATGCTATCACTGTGCACACACACACACACACCTCATTGGCTAACGCTGTTACAATATTCTGTGCACAGTGATCTGCTTGACTCAATGGTATCTTATTCATAGATACCTTGGAAAAGGCACTAGATCCAAGATCCACATACCAGCCTATTGGGCTGGACATCTCTGTCTTAAGGACAGAACAATATAACTAAGAATGTGTGTTTTGGTAGTAATAAAGACGAGCATTCAGTGGCTACACTCCTCAGTAGTCACTGGCCAACGCGATACCCCCAATGAACCGTGAAACAATGATGCATAGTACAAATGTCACCACATATGGCAGCAAGAGAGACTGTAAAGGTGAAATACGGCTGGCAAGAGGGTGATAATCTTGCAATGTCTGACGCACAAATTGCAAGAAGTATGTGTAAATCGCCAGATGAATTACGAGTTTTCCATACAGCATCTGGCCAGTTTCCGTTGTGGTTAATACTTTTGCGAAAGCATACACAAACAAGATTAATTTTTCGATGATAGCTGCTAGCCTCATTAACTCTCTCGCCATTTCTTTGTACCTGATGTTGTTCACAAACAAAAGAAACAACACATCACAAATAAAAGAGTTGTGGTATAGGATCCTATTTAGCAAGAAAAAGTAAAAAGGCCACACTATATACTCACCTTTTAGTGCTATTAACTGATGATAGCTCAGCGTTTCTATGGGTAGCAGTCTAGCAGATATGTGAGGATGTGAGGGGTATTTTTAATTTTTATATTGGTGAGAAGGAGGGAGTGCGGCGGTGGCGTAGGTAACCCTAATTAAAAAAGATCAAAAGGCCACATCACCCTTTCCCCAGCCTAAAGCCCTAAGGTAGTGTTTGGTAGAAGATTTATTTTGGGATTGATGGGAAAGTGTAAGTGAATATTGGAAAATATCACGTTTGGTTCAGGTTTTTGAAAAAAATACTAGGCAAATAAGATAGATGAGGAAATGACTTTTGTGTTGAGTTTTGGATGAAATTCACTGTTACAGGCTACCACTTGAGATGTGGTATTTTGAGATAACTGGGGAAGTGAAAAAACAGGTGCAAAGTTTTTTCCGAACATAGATTTTGCAAATTTAAATAAATTTCCCTGGTAATATTTTGGTCAACCAAATAATTTTTTTTACATTTTCCTAGCAAACTCATTTTCCAACTATTTCCCTAGTAATTACATTTTCCTAGTATTCGAAAAATTTCTCCTCAACCAAAAGCCCTAAACCCATTCCCTCTTCTTTTCTATTTCTGCCATATTATTAAAATATGGAAAAAAAATGTTTATCATTTTAAATGACATAAAGTTATGTTATTTTAATAGAGAGACAGACACAAGATTTTTTTTATTTAAATTTTAAATTTAAAAAATCACTTACTTTCTCTCTCCTATGATTTCCATTTTTCTGTGTCTATCTCTCTCCTAAAATGACATAACTTATGTCATTTAAAATGACAAACACCAAACCCTTAAAATATTTAAGGGTAAAACAAATTCATCCAAAGCATACAAAACACGGATAACTGATTTTTTTTCATTATGGCAGTTTTGTAATTACAAAGTCATTGTAATATTAATATATTATGTTTTGACGGGAATCCCTGCATCTGATGAACTCTCCAAACCTGTGCACATCAACATCCATTTGTCACGTCACTGCTCTTTCTTTCTCATATGCTGGACCTGGTGAAAGGCGCTCGCTCATAGTCATCACAAGTTTTGTTCGGCTTCGAATTATTCCTTGATTTGAAGGCTTATATCAGTGACAGGGAGTGGTACGCGCTACTTTGTTTCCATCATATCTAATCGCACGATTATGTAATTCATTTCTCTGTTTTGTTACTCTGACTGATTGTTCGATAAATGCCATCTATTTTCCTGCTTATTGAGTGCTCATTCATCATATGAATTCTAACTGTATGGCTTTTGAATCATAATTTGGTCCCAATAATTTTTAGTATATATTTGCATTTAAATATCACGCTAACTCTGCTACTTTCCCATAATGATATGAATTATTTTCAGATCTAACACCTCCAAGATGCTTAAATGATTGTTTAGAAAGATGTATAGTTAGTTAGGGCTAGTGTAAATTCCCCAGACTGATTATTATACTTTTTTTTTTTTCATTATATAATTACAATAACTCAAATAGTTACCAAATTGGGAATTCAGACAGCAAACATGTTATTCTGAAGTTGTGTGAACGAAAGCTTGTACTTAATTCGATATCCATTCTGTTTGGATATGTTGTGGAGCTTAAACTATGGTTCAGTAAGACAATGAAGTCGATAGGGGAAATTATGCTGAACTTGAAAAGGTTTCGAAGAGATATTGTGTCCTCATTTAATTTGGTTCCTCTCTTCTGCTCATCTTTCCTATCTACCATATGCGAGTTGTAAATAAGACTACGTGAGTACTGAAGTGTCAATTCAAAGTGCATTTAATTTTTTTCAAGTCATAAGATATAAAATCTCATGTAAATAAATAAAGAATAAGGGATTTAAATAAATTATAAAATTTTGTTTTTGAAATTAATTTAGACAAATAACCAAATTTGGTTAAAACTCAGGAGTGAGTAGTACTAATATGGACGTTCTCTTGAGAAGTCCTTGTCTTGCTCATGCATGTGTTTTAGCCTTAACACACTAGTAAGATTGCGGCCTTTGTCACTGTGTGGTCATGGGTTCTAGTAGCAGAAACTTTTCTCTCTGCGCTAATGGGTGAGACTGTGTACATTTGCCCCTCCCCTAACTGCACGATGGATTTAATTGGATTAGCCATCATATGGTGACCTCATGCAACTCCTTTGATTGGAAAGGCGGCACTATATTTATTTGCCTTCTTTGTTGTAGCTTACTAGCTGATATCATGGTATATGTTGAATTGGCTGAGCCTGTGGAAAATAAATAAATACAAGAATCATGTTATTATATAATCTGAATTATGAGAGTGGAAATGAAACAAAGAAAAATAGGTACTTGTTGGGTAAATGATTGATTATGAAGATGTTTAATTTTGTCATAGAATGAGTACTAGCACTTGTTCAAGCTAAATCTAAGATGTTAATGAGGATGCTTTTTCCTTTTCCCAAGAGTATGACATGATAAGCTCAAGCTAAGATTTTATTCTGATATAATCCTTCCACTCTACAAGTATTAGAGATTCATTGATTTTATACATACATACATACGTGTGTTTGGCTGCACAATGATTTTACTAAAGTTTTTTGTAATGATACAGTTAATAGCAAATTGAGAGTTGTACAGAGTGTTGTGAGAAAATTAAACCTAACAGTATAAAGCAACAGAAATATTTGAGAGAGAAAAAAGACTATAATTTAGTACTAACCAAATATAAAGTATACAAGTTCCAAATATAAAGTATACAAGTTCTTGGGATTTTTTCAACTTAATTTCAACAGCATGTCTTTGGTTACTTATACTAGACCATGATCAACTTAATTTCAACAGCATGTCCATGGTTACTTATACTAGACCATGGATTTCAGATACTTCGATAACCAAGCTTTATTCTTCAGCAGCAAGGTACACACACACCCACCAAATATAAAGTATACAAGTTCTTGGGATTTTTTCAACTTAATTTCAACAGCATGTCCATGGTTATTTATACTCGACCATGGATTTCAGATACTTCTATAGCCAAGCTTTATTCTTCAGCAGCAAGGTACCAGCTATATATGTATATATAGACAAACAAGAAGCATAGTAAAAGAATTGGTATGACACAAGCCTCAATTATCACACACACACTTATTTATATATATTTATTAGGAATTATAGCAGTAACTTGCAGAAGCACTTTCCAGCATTTAGTGGTAAGCAAACTTTCGATTCTTTTTTAACTTTTGCAGTCTCCACTTTCTCTGCTTACAATTCTGTGTCTATCTCTCAAGAATTGGTTCTGAGAGCAATCGAAAAACTCTGTTCAAGCTCTTCTCAGTCAGTAGAAAAAAATTCATTTTGCCCACCCGCTTTCTTCATTAGCCCAAGCTTTTTATAAGGTTAAGTTTGGGATTTCATACATTTTACTGCTTCAAAACCTCTTTAGGGTTAATGTTTTCATTCTTCAAAGAATGACAGACTAGGTTGCTGCTATGTGTAGGTGAGAAATGTTAAACTCTTTTTCAATATCTTTTTATTTTTATTTTTTAATTTTTAGTTCTCCATGTTGAATAATATTAATTACTCTATCTTGTTATCCTTATTGCTTTTCTTTTTAATTTATCACTTTGATAGATTTTTAGTATGCTGATAAATTACTGATTTAATTTAGTGATTAACATGAACTGAGGTACTAATTTCAATTGTTTTTGTAATTTTAATAAATTGGTTTCCTATGTTGCATTTTTCACATCATAACTTCTATGATGTTTGGTATTTACTAATGTTGTGTCTGAAAATAATATAATCTTGACATATGATTTGAAACCCATTGGGAAGACCTACATAAGCATCTACTCTTTTATTTGTCAGGGCTCAGAGTTGCATATAGAGTATTTGTGCAGAATGGCTGCAACCAGGACTCAAGTTAGTAGCTTCTCTCGCAATTTGTCTGCTGAAACATCTCACAATCCTGGACTTAAGCATGGCCCTAATGGGACAATGTTCATATCATCTGGGATTCCTGATCTAGACAGTAATTATCTCCTTAAACTAGCCATATAGTAAATGAATGATTTAGATAATTTCATTTAATTCGTGTGTATTGTGTAATGTCTTTTTATAGAAGGTTCTTATACTTGCTTTTTTGTTTAATAGAGATTTTAGGTGGTGGTTTTCCTCTGGGTAGCCTTGTCATGGTTATGGAAGATGCAGAAGCACCTCATCATATGCTTCTACTGAGAAATTTTATGTCTCAAGGACTTGTACACAAACAGCCACTTTTGTATGCCAGTGCATCAAGAGACCCAAAAGGATTTCTTGGTACTTTACCTAGTCCGGCGTCATCCAAAGAGGATAAATCTCGGGATCTTAACCATGTATTTTTGTTTGTCCTCTGCACTCATATATATATGTGTGTGTAATTATTTTAACTTTTGTTATGGTAATATAATTTGTTTGTTATGCTTATAACTGCAGGAAAAGGATCTAAGAATTGCTTGGCAGTACAAGAAGTACTTTGGTGAGCCTCAGCTAAATATTAACACTAATAATGGTAAGCTTGTCTGTATTGTTCTCTTCATTGTTCGTTCTTGAAATATCATTGTACTATTGTTACTTCATTTGTGGTATTAATTTTTCTCGTGTCAGTTGAACAATACATGGCTACTCATATCACTATGGGCCATCATAGTTATTTTAACTCTCATGAAAAAGTGAGTTTTCACTCAAAGCCATTTGAGGGTCTGGTAAAAGAGAGATGTTATAGTGCTACACTAGATAAGGTGTAATTTAAAGACAATACATATACATAGAAGTATTGATATGTAAATATTCGAAGTTTTAGTTACAGTATGTCTCAAACTATGTATGAAAATCACATCCAATGAAGTTTAAAATAGCAAAAGGATACACAATAGCAACAAGCCAATAATGCTAACAGTTACTATTTGAAAGCCGGAAAGCACAAATTGGATTTTTTTATGAATTTTCAATTTTATCTCACATCTAAGGTATTTTAAGGTTTTACAAGGCGTAATGCTTTGAAATGTGATTTTATGTTATTGTCTATATCAAGTTCTTGCGCAAGCAGTTCTAGTAGCTTTGTCATCTTTTCTGACCATGGGATTTTAGTATATGAAGTTTTAATGATTATCAATTTTTTAAATAAATAAAAGTTCTGAGTGAAAGGGTAGCCTTGACACAATTTTTTAATTAATGAATATGCCAAATCAAGTTGTATAAACTTTTTAGTTGAATTAAACTTACATTGTGCAGGTGTTCAACATTATTATTGCAATGATTTTGACTTGCGTAAGCCCCTGGATAGGCAATTTTTTAGTGGCATGAATGTAGATTGTGTTAGCATGCAAGATTCTCCAAATCTTGCTGCTCTCCAAGATCGTTGTGCTGGATTTGTAGCTCAATTCTCAAGGTGTGATGATCTACATTCTATAGCACTCTCAGAAATGTATATCTTAGAGATACTAGATGATTCCTAGGCCTCCACGTAATAGCTATAGATTTTAGAAGAGTAGGTTTTTGACAGTATTCTACTATTATTCATGTTGTCACACCTGGTTCTGAGTCAAGCTTTTTGAATAGAATAAAATAAAAAGATCATATTGGAAAAGGTTTGCCGTTGGAATTTGGGTCAGAGGTGTATAAGAGGTCTTCCTAAAGAAAATTTAACTATATCTTTGATAGATAGTTTTTTAGCATACGCTGTTTATATTTGGCCTCTGAAGAATTATTTTTGACAAAACACAATGGTGTCAGTTGATTCATATAGCCAATCCCACCTATTGTGAAAGGCTTTGTTGTTGTTGATTACAATTTAAGATTTTATTTTATTTTTTGGTACAAACACAATTTAAGATTTTGATCATTGGGCTCTATGTTTAATACTTATGTTTTACTCTTGTTGGCACTTCATTTTCATCACTACTATAGAATATTGATGGTCTTACAGCTAGCTGCCTGGTAGAATTTTCTGTTCATTTTGATGGGCACTTTGTGATCATGAACACAATATTGGGTTTATGCATCTGGGCAGGGGCCACTGTTTGCAAGTTCTGCAAATGCATGCAATGGTTACAATTGGCCTGCTAAAATGATTTTAAGCCCTATTCCAGAAACTCCCTCCAATGTCATTCTCTTGTATGCTTGAGTAAAAAGGATGGCTAGGACTGCACTACACTATTTGTGATTTTGAACTGCATCAGTGCTGATTCTGGACCCTTCTTTTGGATCAGTTAGGTTGTGATAAAGACTACTTGGTGATTTCACTTTCTTGTCAAATTTATCTTAAAAAATATCTTTCTTTCTATTGAAAAATTTCATTTACTAACATTATGGCTGGCATTGACAGAAATGAAGGCAGCACTTCTTCTGTCGGTCGTATTGCAATTCAATCATTCTGTTCTCCACAATGCAAATATTCAAACATGGTGAGCTAATATGTTCTTCCCTTTGTTTTTATATGGTTTTGAGCCAAGTTTCTCCTTTGTCTGTGAACTATATGGTGTAATCTTTAATTATATTCATGTACCCTTACCTCTATACAAATGTATTTATCTGACACAGATCCTGTCATGTGATCCTTGTTGAATCTCATATGTTCTTCATTCTATAAATGTTTGATAAAAATTGAAACGTGTTAATATAATACATTATTATTGCAGGAGTGGCATATGCTTTCCTTTATTAGGTCCCTAAAAGGCATGACCCGATCTTCAAATGCTGTTGTCGTTGTAACCTTAACACCTTCACTTCTTTCTCCATCTTGTTCAAAAAGATTGCAACATATGGCAGACACCTTGCTTTCTGTTAGAGCACTTCCAGGTTCATAGTAAACTTTTATATTACATGTGGTTATTAATCAATTACCTCAAGTTTCACTACTAGACTACATTTGTTTCAGATGAGGACAAGGAACTGGCGAAACTCCTCACTGGTTACCAGGACATGGTTGGGCTTTTAAATGTACATAAAGTTACGCGGTTCAATACGCAGGTTATATTCATGCTTCATTTTGATTTATCTGTAAATGGTATTATACTTTTGGTTTACTCCTTTTGCGCACAATGTGACATGCATACAACTGCTCACATCCATTTATCCCATTAGGCCATTATACACCTTTTTTGGTATGCTTGTCTTTTTTTAATTATTTCATAATTGATTTTGATGTTTTTTATTTGATAGCTTTTGCGTCTACATTTTAGTAAAGTCAAGCCAATCAAGTTAATTGGGAATTTTATTGGAGGAAAAATGGATTTCTAGAAGCTACCCTTTTCTTTCATTCTGTTCTGTCTTGCTTATGTTGACTGTCTGGTTTTCAACTTGCAGGTTCCTGTGATTCTCGAGGCCTCAACATTCTCAATAAAATTGCAAAAGCGGAGGTTTTTGGTTTTAGAATGTCTAAATCAAGCTCCAGTTGACGGTTCAAGTGGGAGTTCGTATGGCACATCAGGTAGTTGTTCAGGGTCAACTAAAGCTGGACTACTAGATTTTTAGACTATACATCATTTATCACTGAAGATTTGTGTCAACAAAAATACCCTAGCAATAGTTAGTCAGACCCAATATGCTATTCTTAGCGCATGAGATGTAGCCTTTTATTTTTTAATTTCTCCTTTCTTTTTGTTCTTTTGATCAACTGGTTTCACCATTAGTTAATTTGCAATATACAAATATTTTCTGTAAAAAAGATAGCATGATTCTGAGAATGTTGAGTGTCTGAGAAAATAAATAATAAATACAAAAAATATTTTCAATGATGACTGCCTAATTATGTTGGCACTTTATCTTGGTCATGGGAGATTAAGTACAAGTTAGCATAGATGCTGGAGATTTTCGCCTAGGGACACAGCCAGGTGAGAGAGACCACTAATGACAACTAAACTTTTGTAGGTCAGGTTTGTCATATGGTAAATGGGTATTTTTTATACCTAGTAATAAGGGGTCATATAAGATGCATCGGCGTTTAAGATCCCTGTCTGGTACTGTACATTCCTCATTAGTCGAATTTGACAAGTTCATCGCTCTGGATGATCCGTAATTTTTTTGAGTCTTGGTTCTGTTCTGCCTGAGGCTGAGATGTCTAATCGTAGGTTAGATGGTTGATGTTGGATCTAGTGCTTTCTTTAGATACCTATGAATTAGGTATCTTGAGGATAACGAATCACTACACACTATATGACAGCCTTAGCCTAAGGGGGGGTGTGTGTGCGCTGTGTGATTGTATAAAATAGGGTTAGAATGTTATCAAAAAAAAAAAAAAAATAGGGTTAGAGAAAGATCAGTTATATCTGTGGTCTTTAGCTCCTATTTATAGTGCTTACATTTGGACTTGTATTACTTGGGCTTCATGTGGATGTGGGCCTTACTCAGGTCCATAACAGGTTCAAATTCTGTGCATGCCCTTATTTGTATGTGGATATTATATTATACAATCTGATTATGACCTGGGGTTATTTGTTATGCCCATTTAGACCCGATATTAACATTTATCAGTGTGACGGCTAACCCTAGTTGACTGAACAAATTCAATAATAGGGCTGAAAGTAATATATATTTTTTTATGTAAAAGTTTAGATGAGGTAAGACACAGATATTTCACAAGATAGACCCCAACCACTTTTAAAAGTGAGTCAAGGTCCACGACGATCGGAAACAGGGCTGCGTGTGGAGGCCTCTTGAGGGATAGGAGTGGCTCCTGGATTAGTGGTTTCTCGGCTTTGATTGTTACCTGCACCCCTTTACATGATGAACTTTGGGTTATGTTTCATCGTCTAGAATTTGCTTGGAATCATGACAGGAAGAAAATAGTTCTGGAATCGGATTCTTCTCAAGCTTTAAGCCTTCTTACCAGTAATGGTAATGATACTCGAAAGCTTCCTCTGGTAGCTAAGATTCGAGTTCTCCTACAGAAAGAGTGGATTGTTTTGTTGAATCAAACCTCGAGAAATTGCAACTCCTGTGCGGATTGGATTGCGAAGAAGGCTATGGAGGATCCCCATGGTCTCAACATAATCTCATCCCCTCAAAGTGAACTCATCAATCTTCTAGCTGCTGACCTCTTGGACCCGGGACTTGAAAATGGCTGCTCTTAGAGGACTTTGAGAAAGTTTACTGTTTTACAGTTTTTTCTGCTAGTTTTATTTTGCTTCTGTTTTTTTTCTTCTTTTCTGCTAGGGCTCTGCCCCTCTATGTTACCAAAAAAAAAAAGTGAGTCAAGGTAACCTATGAAGCACCGACACTTCAAAATTTTTGATGTGTCGTGTCCGACACTTTCCGACACTTATCGACACTCCGACACTTCCCGACACTTCAATACTTGTTGCAAAGACTCAAAAAAGGTTATGTTGCATTGCATTTTTAGCTCCAACTATTAGATTCGTTGGATTACGATTAATATTTTCTTGAGTTTAATATAAATATTTGGAATATCTTATGTTTCTTTGCAAAATTGATGGGTATTATAAGTTTAGGTTTATTTTTTTGTTAAAATATTGAATATTAAATATAGTATACACTACATAAATTAAAAATATTATATAATATTGAATCGTGTCCTAACGTGTCAAAATTTAGCATTTTTTAGAATTAATGTGTCAGAGTGTTGTGTCGTGTCGTATCCTGTGTCCCGTGTCGGTGTCGGTAACATAGAAGGTAACCATGGGTTTCCTTGTAACTTAAGTGTGCTAATAGAATATGAGTTGAAAATTTTGATTTTTTTTTTATGAATGGAGTTTGATCTTTCAAATATTTGATTTTTTAAAGTTTGAGCTGGCTTAAGATATAATTTTTTTAATAATAATAAAATAAAAGAGTACTTTAGTTTAATACCTAAGTATTTAATTTTATTTTTGATTTGATTAAAAATTAAACATTTGAACAAAAATTTGGTTGTATTAAAATACAAATTTAATAACTCAATAAGCTTAAAATTTTAAGTTCAAATGAACTATTTTTCTTATTAAGCTAAGCATAAACTACACGTAATTTTACTCCCGTCCCTTCAGTGTTTTAAATTAAATTCTACATACATTGCTAAAGCGTGCAAGTTTTGAGTTCTTTCTTAGTCTATAAGCCAATAATATCATTTGGTGATCATCCCGTTCCAATTTGGTGATCATCCCTTGACATTCAAGGCTTTTGGGAAGTAACATTCATACCAAAAAAATCCGAAGTGATTACAACCAGAGGAAATCTTCTCAGTGAACCTCCATTACCATTTTGATCTTAGACAGGTCACTAGTGCCATGGCCATTAGTATTCGAATAACTTATCTTCACAATCATTTTTAAACACAAGAAAAAAAAAAAACAATTGCAAGCAGTAAAACAATAATACCATGATGCTGTGTTGTAAATTGTAAAAATTAAATCATTCAAGCATTTATAGCATAGAGCAGGGGCAAGGATTAGAGAGGGTAAATCAACTTAAAACTTACCGTAAAAAATCATGGAAAGTGTCGAATGGATTCCCAATTTCCCGGCATATAGATATTTTTCACAAAAATACCAAGTAGCCCGGAATCCAAATATCAAGTATTCATTCATTGGCACTTAAAAGTGTTTCCATTTCTCTTTGGTGCAATTCTAATTGAGATCCACAAAGTAGCATTACAGCTCAACACAGGCATGAAATTCGGCATATAGGCCGACCTATGAGGGCAAACTAGGTCCGAACCTTATCCTGAAGTCATAATTCGGCTAATGCATCTCGCTAGCAAAGGCCCAAGGAATCCAGACGGGAACGGCAGGGACCAACAACATGGCACCCTCTTCGAGCTATATTAGGACAAACTTAGGCTCTTCTACAAGACACACAACACAAGGCGTCTGAATGCCACAATACCCACATCATATGATACGAACTTAGTCGCAGGTACCTTGATCATAGCCAAGGTACGCAAAACACCTAGAAACCCAGAGACACAGCAAAGGAGGAGGGAAAGTGGTATGGAAACTGTTCTGCCGTGGGCAGAGGTTCCGACCGTAAGTGAGTTGTTTGATGTTGGATCTATAGCGTTCTCTCTAGATACTTATGGATTAGGTATCTTGAGACAGCGAATCACTACACACGGTATGATGGCCTTAGCCTGAAGGGGTGTGTGTGTGCGATGTCGTGCTTGAAAGAAAATAGGATTTGAGAGATCAGCCATACATGTGGTCCTTATCTCCTATTTATAGAGCTTACCTTTGGGCTTGTGTAGGTTGGGCTTCTTGCTGTCGTGGGCCTTTCCCTGGTCCATAACAGTTGCCCCCCAGCTCTGTAGACTGAGTCTGTAGGTTGCCGGGATGTCCAAGTCAAGCCGATTGTTGTGCTTTTAGCTCGGATGTTGGTCACTTGGCTGGTTTGTTATTTCGGCTTCCCCACTTGGCTTCGAGAGGGAAAGCTTTCCCTGATTTTTACAAGCATATTTGCATCCGGGATTGTAACATCCCAAGAGCTGGCAAGGGCAGGGAGTGATCGCCGGTGCGAAAGGGCACGGACAATGAGCGTCTCATGCCAAATCTTGCAGCTTGGGGGTTCATGAATGAATCGAATCAACACCCGAAAGAGAGGGATTCCAGAGACTGTGCTGGTATGGGACGGTACAGTTAGGAATGGCTTATAAGAATTAATTGGTACTACCTATACTAACAAGATGCATCTACTTTTCGGTAGCCCAGATCGGAAGAACTCCACAGTTAAGCGTGCTTGACTTGGAGCAATTCTGGGATGGGTTACCTCCTGGGAAGTTTTCCCGGGAAGTGTGCGAGTGAGGACAAAGCACACTGAAAAGTCTCGTGTTAGTGTGTGGGGACAGTCATTGATTCTTGCAAGTTGTCAGGCGTTACAAGTGGTATCAGAGCAGGGCCTCTCTTCCAGTACGGTGTGGTTTGAGGACGAACCAGGCGGAAGCTGGTGGGCATGTAACATCCCAAGAGCTGGCAAAGGCAGGGAGTGATCGCCGGTGCGAAAGGGCACGGACAATGAGCGGCTCATGCCAAATCTTGCAGCTTGGGGGTTCATGAATGAATCGAATCAACACCCGAAAGAGAGGGATTCCAGAGACTGTGCTAGTATGGGACGGTACAGTTAGGAATGACTTATAAGAATTAATTGGTACTACTTATACTAACAAGATGCATCTACTTTTCGGTAGCCCAGATCGGAAGAACTCCACAGTTAAGCGTGCTTGACTTGGAGCAATTCTGGGATGGGTGACCTCCTGGGAAGTTTTCCCGGGAAGTGTGCGAGTGAGGACAAAACACACTGAAAAGTCTCGTGTTAGTGTGTGGGGACAGTAATTGATTCTTGCAAGTGGCCGGGCGTTACAAGTGGTATCAGAGCAGGGCCTCTCTTCCAGTACGGTGTGGTTCGAGAACGAACCAGGCGGAAGCTGGTGTGCATGTAACATCCCAAGAGCTGGCAAGGGCAGGGAGTGATCGCCGGTGCGAAAGGGCACGAACAATGAGCAGCTCATGCCAAATCTTGCAGCTTGGGGGTTCATGAATGAATCGAATCAACACCCGAAAGAGAGGGATTCCAGAGACTGTGCTGGTATGGGACGGCACAGTTAGGAATGGCTTATAAGAATTAATTGGTACTACCTATACTAACAAGATGCATCTACTGGAAGTTTTCCCGGGAAGTGTGCGAGTGAGGACAAAGCACACTGAAAAGTCTCGTGTTAGTGTGTGGGGACAAT